TGGCTTCTCTGCGACTTGCACCAAGTGACCAACGCCATCTTGACTAAGGGCAAGGAGGCCAGGTCAGATGATCTCACTGCTACCTTTGCTATAGATGACCACCGCCATCTTGACTAAGGGCAGGGCCGGTAACCTACTTGCCATCTTTACTGAAGGTGCTCTGCCTCCTCTTGCCTTTTAGTTACATTTTTGTCTCTAAATTCCTCATACTGACTCTCTTACATCTGTTGTATTTTGCACAGTGGCATGCTTTTGGTAGAACCCAGAAGAGCATCTGCTTTCAACTCCTGTTTAATATATGTGTGTGTGCATGCATGTGACTTTTGATTTAATGTTATGTATGAATATAAGCTACATTTAACTCTGTATGTATATATATATGTGTATGCAACCTGAATTCAACTGTGTATATTTGTACATGTACTTACTATTAAAAAATTATTTTAAGATTTATTTATTATGTATATAATGTTCTGCTTGCATGCCAGAAGAGGGCACCAGATCCCATTAAAGATGGTTATGAGACACCACATGGTTGCTGGGAATTGAACTCAGGATCTCTGTATGTTAATAATGCATCGTGCATTTCCAAACATCTATCAAACAAATATAGGTTCTCACTACACAAATGGAAGCTATTTGAGTTTGTAGAGATGTCAAGTAACTTAATTTAATCATTTGACATCATATACATATAACACCACTTTCAAGCCTGAAAATGTGTGATTTAATAAAAAAAATTTTTAGCCTGACATTTGATAAGGAAAGTAGCTCTATAAAACACACATATATTGGTATTGGGGGGAAAAAGCACAGGGAGGCAAAAGGAGTTCTATTTATTCAAATTTCGCCCTATACTAGGGAACACGTCAGTTACTTAGGTGAAATTCTATGAAAATTCTGTAGTAGCTGTTCATGATGACTTGCATTAACTAACATTCTAAGGACACTGGGGGGAAACAGGACATGCTTGGATCAAATCCAAACTTTCTACCTCTCTTGTAGACCACGCAAACTACAATAAGAAGGTGTCAGTTGTCACAACATGGTTTCCTGGTGTCATATTGCAGTGAGTTCGGGATGTCACTAAGTTGGCAGGGTTTTTGATGAAATGGACTGGGGAGTTGTTGTGGAGAGGGTGACTTAATGATCTCTGGAAAGCTTTTCATGGAACTCTGACCTCAAACATACATATTTTACCTTGAGGGGAATGCAGGAATGAATTCATTTGCCATGTTTCTCAGGAGTAGTCGGCCTTGGAACTTGGACCTTGTCTAAGCTACAAGGATTCTCTCTCTGCTACAGTGACTCGAAACTGGATAGTTAAGGTGTCTTGGTGGTCTTTCCTTTATCATGCTACACAGATATATCATGAACCTTTTTAGAAAATGTCGAACTCTGAGAGACAATTCAGAGAGTCCCCTTTCCCTTGGCAATCAGAATTGATGACCTAGCTATAACTTAATTCATTACTTATGGTAGACTCATTTCTCAGGAATTAAGACGTCTAGGTTCTATAGAGACAAGCTCATTCTCTGGACAGGAGGATCTTACTTTGCGGCTGAGGCTGAGTTTGAAAGCTCAATCTTCCTACTTCAGCACATGGAGGGCTGGAATTACAGGTGAGCATCACCATCCCTCACTCAGAAGCCAGAACACTTGAGTCTGATCATTTCTAAGAGGGGAGTTGGCTGCACATTTCTGTAATGTGGAATCCATGGATCATACCTGTAGGGAAAATGTCATTCCTGACTTAAAGGACAAACTACATGATGTAGAGGAGCAGCCTGATCCTGCTGATAGTTGTCACTCAGTTGGAACTGTGTTCTGTGTGGGCTTTCCTACAATGCTTCAGGCCAAATACTCCTGAGAAACAAGGCAAATGAATCCATCCCTGCATTTCTGTCAAGGTAAAATATGTATGTTGCTGAAATGCATGTGTATTAGTTACTTTATTATTACTCTGATAAAGCACCATGACCACGGCAGCTTCTAGGAGAAAGACTAGGACATAGGGATGCAGATGAGGCATCAGTGGAAGGCATGGCAGCAGGAGCAGGACGATAAGGAATGATGTCATTTACTAAGTTACACACAACCATGGGCATGACAGAGAGAGAAAGAGAGAAGGCTGGGTAAGGAGCAAGGGAGGGAAGGAGGGAGGGAGGAAGGGAGGGAATTGGGAATGGTGTGAGTCAACACCTGTCCCAGAAATGAACTTCCTTCATCAAGGCCATATTTCCTAACATCCCCAAACAGCATCTTGTACTGGGAACCAGGTGCTCAAATACATGAACCTAGCATGGAAGGGGAGAGCAGGAATATGTTTACTAAAAACACCACAGGAAGGTGGCATGGGACACAAATACAGAATGTTAACTCCATATTCTCTAAGTCCCCAGAAAATGGTGCTGGCAGAAGAATGACATTATACAGGACAATGGAGGTATACCGGCATGTATTCCCCGGCACAAACCACAAGACCATGTGTTATTGTTTCTGGTCTGTGTCTGTATCCATCAGTGGTGTCTTGCAGTACTTCTGGCTTCCTGGACTGCAATGCCCTGGAGGAACAGAGAAGCTGGGTCTTGATGAGTTGAAGCACTTCCTGTCCCAGGTGCAGAACATCAGTACAGATGTTAGGGGAGCTGAGTAAGCTCTATGCAAATGGTGAGGACTGGGAGACACATCCACAGACTAGAGGAATCTGAAGCTGTCTGTGTTTAAGGCATTTACTGCCTCTGAATCTATTCCAATATGTGCTCAAGGGAACAAAACAAGGTGGCTTTGAACACCTTCACCATGCAGCTGTGGGAGAAGCCCAGGGGTTTCTCTCCGGGGCGAGTCTGAGTATGGGTTCTTCTTTGTGTTGGATGCCAGGAAGTTATTGACCACAGATTAGATGACATTGAGGTCACTTGTGTCTTGGTGGCCAGGGAATCCTAGGCTCAGTTCAGGCTCCATCCTGATATGGTTGATGCTGTTTATGAGGTATTGACTACCTTTGATAGAAATTTATTTCTGTCTCCTCTCTAACGGAAGCACAGTAATGGTTTTCAAAGTTATTTTAAGCCATAGAACTATCCCCTCAAAATAAATATGACATCTAAACTGCAGTCATATGTGACTGTGTGGTTTCTAACAAGCCTTTTTCTTTGATTCTTCACTCTTCTTAGTTTCTGTTGTCCTCAAAAGAGTTAGGCCCATAGTGTATCTCCATGGCAGGGTTTGTTTTCCAGTTCTCTGTCAGAAACTGTGTGCCACCTACATCTCTTCATATATAAAAGTGTGTCTTTGAAAGTTGCTTCGTCTAGAGCAAGATTTTACTTCATCTCCCAGAAGAACGTGGCGCTCTGTCTACTTGGGACAGGGACCCATTAAGCTGTAGCAACCAGTCATGTTCATCTGCTAAGGGTCTGACAGGACAGGACCCTGAAGCCAAGGCTGCTTAGAGTTTAAAGTTTATTTTAGTTAATTTAAGTAATTTTTATTTGTTTGTTTTGAGACAGATTCTCTCTGTAAGGCCTCAGCTGGCTTTGGGCTCAGAGATCTGCCTGCCTCTTGCTCCCAAGTGCTACATTAAGGCATGAGCAACCATGCCTGGCACCTTGGATTGTTTTAGCAACATGAGTCCAACACAGGGAGAATTTCATTTAACAAGCAGCCACACATTCTGGCTCCAGTCACATGCCATAATCTTCCTGACAGTGAGAGTCCCAGATAGTCTTAGGAACAATGGGTGCAGCAGGACCCAGGAACGTCTAAATATTACAGGAACTTCTCCACACCGTTTTTTTGTTTTGCTTTTTTTTTCTACTTTTTTCAGCCTCCTTGATTTATGTTTAGTACTGTTTTTTGAATTACTCTGCAAAATATGTGCATCTCTTAGAATTGCAATCTGCACAATGGCTGTGTCTGTTACTTTTTAAATGAATACAATGAGGCTGTCTCGATCGTATTATTCTGTAGGAACTGCCCTATATCCTAGATGGAAAAGAGGCTTTTCTCAATAGCTTCCCAGGAGAAGCTAATTTCTGAAAGTCATTTGCAAGTCTCGTACACGCCAGTGCTGACTGATGAAAAAGTAGAGATTTCTAGCTATTTACCCTTCCGGATGTCAAAGACTGCCATAGGCCAGGTGAGCTGCAGGGAGTCTTAACCTGGAGGCCAGCAGTGTCTAAGATGAACAGGCTCAGAGGGGCTCAGGCTGCTGAGTGACCCTACTGCTATGGATGCTGAGCACACGGAAAGAGCTGAACTGACTGGGAAGAGCTTCCCTAGGCCTAGGCATATAGGAGGTGGGGTACAGGGTTCTGGAGAGAGACAATGAGAGCCCACACATCCATGGACCCACTGTGATGCCACCTGTAGCTTGTACCTTGAGAGACCCCTCCCTGCCAGGTTGTGATTTAGCCTGGCACCACAGGGCTGGGGCACTAATGAAAGGAACCACACTTGGCTTGGGTTGTAAGAGGTAGGAATGTCCTCAGATCTGCATGATCTGTAAAGCACAGATGTTGACAGACTCATCAGAACCAGCATGAAGAGAGCAGGGTGCAGTTAGGAGACTAGAAAAAGCTTGACCCTGTACCCAGAGGAGGCTAGGAAAACAAACTCTAGATGAGCAAGAGGGGATACTGAAATTGTCACCTTATTGGTGAAGCTGTGGGACAGATGACCTGCCCAGGAAGGTCCATCCACCACAGTGACCTCAGCTCTGTCTCCACATCCCCAGGACCCATGGTGCGTTGCTTCTCCTTACTTCCGCATGACAGAGGAGGGAAAAAATTCACCCTGAGCTCCAAGACAAAAGACACCCAAACTCAGCATTGGGCCTGTCAGAGGGCAAGCACTGCATAGTGGGCCAAGTAAAAAGGAGCCAGGCAATGGCCATGCCTGAGCTTTGGGAGGGTATGATGTTAGGGTGAGCAGAGATATTAAGTGTGCCATTGGCCTGCCTAGCACAGAATTGGTCCATGTGAATGAACAGAAAACCAGTCTTATGATTCTGCAAAGACACATTTATTGAATTGCTAGCTTCTGTCCAAGGACAATCCTGGACTCAGCTGTAGGGAAGACGGTGAGTCAGGGAGGGGTCTGGTTTGCTCCGTAGTTAACTGCTTTTCATTGTTTTCTTTATCCAGGATAGGAAACTTGACACTCTGGTGAAGACCATGGGTGCAGACCCATCAGGACCACCAAAAGAGGCAATGCCTGCAGCTGCTTTTTTACACACGAGAGGTCCTCCATCATCGCCCTGTGAGTGGAGAAGGGTCACAGGGGACTGAGCTGTTGCTCACCCTAGTCCCAGCCTCCCTCTCATGTCAAGGCTCTTCTATGAGGAGTATGACTTGTGTGCTCAGCTTGTGGAAGATTGGAGGGCAGGCCTCTGGCCCCTGGGTTTCCCATTCTGATTGTGGACAGGCTTACTGCTTCACCTCCCTCCTGAGCCCGGCCTCTGCCCTTTCTGCAGGTCTGTGATTCACTCCCTATGAAGGTGTGTGTCACACCCTCAGCTCCAGGCCATTGTTTAAGAACATGGGGACAGGTGAGTGAGCCTGATGTAAGCATGGAGGACCAGTCCATTAACAAATGTGGGTGCCTGCTCTGAGGAGACCCTGCTTGTGGTAACAACACACACACACACACACACACACACACACACACACACACACAGAGTACAGCTTACTAAAGCCTGGGTCTAGGTGACAGGAGGACTATGCAAATCCTCTGTACTGGCTGCCTCCTTGTCAGCTCTGAGGACCTGACTACTTACGAGTTCCTTCCTACTGTTTCCAGGGAGAAAGATCACAGTCAATGGGCAAAGGAGTCCCTGATGCTTGGTATCTAGGTCCCAGATTGCTTTTCCCCTCCCATGGAGCCAAGAGATGAGAACAATCCAACTTACCTTAAAGAAAGCACGATTGACATTTGGGTCCCCCACACAGATCCCAGTGGCTTTGTTGTAACCTTGAAAGCGAGACTCACACTCCTGGTCCTTCTGGACTGTCAGCTCTACCTCTTGAAGTGTGTTTGAAAAGTCACCCTTTGGGTCCATCTTTCCCCAACCAGCCACATAGCATACGTCCCCTGGCTTCACTTGGACATTACGCCTGGGCAGGTTGAGGGGCTTCACAGCTTTAGTCCTCTTGGCCTTCTTCTCCAGCTGTGGGGGAAGAATCAGGAGAGAGCAGCTCAACCACGAGCCTGCTGGCTTGGGACCCTTTGAAAGCCAGGATGGCAGGGAGGGAAGGAACAGAATGAGAGCAGGAGGGGAGGGGCGATCCCTGCAGCAAGCAGAGCACAGAGAGCTGTGGGGGCAGTTCTCACCTTTAAGAGCATGATGTCATTGGAGCCATCCTTAGGATTGTAGTCTGGGTGTGGGATGGCTTTTGCCACAGGGATGGCCTGCTGGGTCTCCTCCCGCATCTTGAAGTCATGGGCTCCTAGAGTGACTCTCATTGCGCTGTAGAGAGCAGAGTGCAGATGGGAGATGTGGAGTGAGAGAGGACACAGTGCAGGAGCTGTAAGAGGCTGGGCGGGCAGATGGGGCTCTAGCTGAGGGGACTGAGGGGACAAAAGGGCCTCAGGGTGTGAACTACTGCTTTCATCTTCTCAAGGACACTAGACTCCTAGAGGTTCCCTCTTGCTTCTCAGCAATATTCCAACGTTTGTATTGACTCTGAATGTGCACTTTCAACCTCAGTCACTGCTATAGTCTGACCAGTGTAGTTGCTTTCAACTCAACTGTGCTGCTGCCTCTGACCCCTCACCCTGTGACCTCTAAGTTTCCCTAATGACAGACTTCCATTGTCACAGCCCCGCCCTCTAGTGAGCTCTCACAAAAGCATCCATGAGTAGAGGATGAAAACTCTTGTTAGGGTCTCAGAAATCATGGGCTGCTCCTCCTCACCTTCCCATGCAGTGAGCAGCTGTCAGCACAAAGTTGTCTCGCACCAGGAAGCCTCCACAGCCATCACTTCTGCCATCATCTTTCACAAATGTAATAAACGCCATGTAGGGGCGGTAGTGGGGTTTGACCTCATGGCCCCCGATGATCTCCTCTGAAAGAAAGGCAAGAATATGAGGTGTCTGGGAGCAGCAGATGAGGTAGGAGGGAAGATCTAGGGAGGGGTGATGGGGTGAGATCTACAGTTCCCCAAGACTATTGTGGTCAGAATTCCTTGCACATAGAGTGATCTTTGCTGAGTATGAAGCCTCAGTGCCCTGTTCTGAGAAGGGGTGGGTAGGACTTGTCCTCCAGTCCCTGCTTTAAAAATACATGGAGGGACAAACTTCTTTCTTCATGATGCTAGAGACCAAGGGAAGGCTGTGTGGCTCATGGTAATCTTTCACTATTAGTGATTCTCTGGAGACCTCTCATGTCTTGATTTCTGCCAAATTTGTCACCTTTTACCCCAAGGTCTTTAGAGAGGGATTTTCTAAAGTTCTCCTGTTCTGGTGCCCATCATATCCTAGGTTCGCAGTAAATAATTCTGGCTGCATAATGAATGATTTCTACTTAGCTAGAGGACTGGTGATTCGGAATTAATGGGATCCAGAGCCTAGGGGACATCGGAGGAGTGTGCTGGAATAAAGGGAATAGCTGGTGACATGCATAAAGTAGAGAGGCCAACAAACACTAGAGAGCAAATCCAGTGGAGGGTTCGGTGTCAGCCTGGACCTCTTTCCTTAGCAGCCTGAGGGGTGAGGTCACTAAATGATGCTAATACTCTTGAATTAGTGTACTTATCCCATTGCTGACTGGTGATTCAAGCTGCCCAGGATCTGGGCTGAAGTAGAGTTAATGGTATACTTTTTAGTAACCGTACATTCTCTGCTACTTTTCTTTTATGAGATGATCCACTCCCCAGGTGACACAAAGAGCAGGGAGAAGCTAGTGTCCTCTGAGGACACCGCCCTTCTTCAGACCTTGTTGACGATCTAGCCAGTGACAGGCTTCCAGGTCTGGGTTGGTCTGGGACCTGAGGTTCAGAAAGTTCCTGGTTCAGTGCAGGAAGTTCCTGACTAGAGCTGGGCAGAGACTCCACAGAGGTATTATGGGATAGAATCTCTGGGACAGGGGTGTTCACTCACCTGCACCAGCTCCTCCAAGCAGCAGAAGAAAGGTCAGGAGAATGAGGACTCGATCCATCTTCTTAGGAGGCTGCTCGGGTTGGAGGTCAGAGTGGACAGAGCCCTTGAAGGATGAAGGAGGTGAGCACTCAGTGACCTCACAGGCCTTTTAAACCTGTGCAGCTCTGCTCTGATTGGCTTTATTAGCTCAGGACATTGTCTGGTTTGGGTGAAAATGACACGGTCACCACACTGACATCCTCTGAGCTAATCCTGGATAAAGACCAGGAAAAGAGGGGGTAAGGTTGTGGTTGAGGAGGGCCTGGACCCCAGCAAGTCCACTGTGCCTGCACTGAGACAAAAGTTTGGCTTTTTATATTGCTTACATTTTTTTCCCTTTCTGGCAATATCTCTTTTTAATTTCTTTGGTTTTTTTTCTTTCTCTCTTTTCTTTTTTGAAAATGACACCCAATTTACCACAAAACAGTTATAGCACTAAAAATACACGGACAAAATTATACAGTATTTATTAGGAGCTGATACTGTGTCCTATCTGGAGAGGCAGAGTTTCAGTTCATCTTCTCATTCACCTCTGAGACTTCTGATCATACTGAGGAACATCTGTTGGAACAGTCTGATGAATTAATTTTCACTCACTCTGACTCTCCTAAACTGCTAGGGTGTCACAGAGAAGTCTCAAAAGCAAGTATTTACCCTGTGGCCATTGATCACGTCTTACTCTCATACATGGTTAAATATAATAATGAATCACAAATAATGTTTATCAATTACCTGTTTACTATATATTGATGTTCATCTCTAAGCAAGAGCTTCAGGATTGAATTTAAAGTCAGTAATATGAACTTAAAGGCCAGCACTGGGTTCCCTGCTGGAGACTGAAGTGGTATTTTCTACAACATTCCCTAGGATTTTCTGTAGATAAACAAGGACTTTGATTAGCTCTTGAGTGATTATTTAGTGGGCTAGATCTGGAAGTGAGACAGACAAAGACCCAGCCCTTGAAAAGGCTGATATTGACTGGAGTGAGCTGAGGATCTGAGTTTAGAGCACAGATGGTTAGAGATGTGTGAGATCAGTTCTGAGAGGTGAGACAGGCTGGTCTTACTCTGAACACAGGTGTGTGTGTGTGTGTGTGTGTGTGTGTATGCACATGTGTGTGGTATGTGTGTGTGTCTAACTGTGTCTATGTGAGTATGCACATGTGTGTGGTATGTGTGTGTCTAACTGTGTCTATGTGTGTATGTGTGTGCATGTGTGTGGTATATGTGTGTGTTCCGTTGTCTGTGTGTGTCTGTGTGTGTATGTGCATGTCTGTTCATGTGTGTGTGTTACTCATGGAGGTCAGAATAGGACAATGGATGCCCTGGAGCTGGAGTCAGGATACTTGTGAGACATCACGCGGATGCTGGGAATTGAACCTGAATCCTCTGCTAGAGCAACGAGTGTTCTAAACCACTGAACCATCTCTCCAGCTCATTATCCAGGGATAAGAGGATGATGTAATTCATTATTTGCATATTGCAATGAATTCATGTTGTCGTGATCCTTGGCATTAAGTTAGCAGGGTCTTGGAGCAAATGGGCTGGGGAGTCGTTGTGGGGAGGGGATGTTGGAGAAGGGAGCCCCTTGTTCATCCCAGCTGCCCAGAACCAAAATAACCACACAGAAACCATATTATTTAAATCATTGCTTGGCCCATTAGCTCTATCTTCTTATTGGCTAACTCTTACATCTTAATTTAACCCATTTCTATTAATCTGTTTATCACCATGAGGTTGTAGCCTACCAGCAATATGTCCAATATGTCTGACTCTGGCAGCAGCTCCATAGCATCTCTCTGACTCCACCTTCTTCCTCCCAGCATTCAGTTCTGTCCTCCCTGCCTACCTAAGTTCTGCCCTATCAACAGGCCCAAAGCAGTTTCTTTATTCATTAATGGTAATCAATACACACAGAGGGGACTCCCACATTAAGGAGGACTTAAATGATCTCTTGAAAGATGTTCAGGGAGCTCTGACCCCAAGTGTCTAAGCTACAAGGATTCTCTCTCTGCTACAGTGACTCTAAACTTGATAGTTAAGGTGTCTTGGTGGTTTTTCCTTTATTGCACTACACAAATATATTATAGACTTTTGTTAGGAGTATATTTATATACATGTGTGTGTGTATATATATATATATATAGTTTTATATATATATATAGTTTTTCAAAACAGGGTTTCTCTGTAGCTTTGGAACCTGTCCTGGAACTAACTCTTGTAGACCAGGATGGCCTCAAACTCACAAAGATCTGCCTGCCTCTGCCTTCCAAGTGCTGGGATTAAAGGCGTGGGCCACCCAACTAGGAGTCATTACACCTTGAGAGACAATTCAATGAAACCAATTTCCCCAGCAAATCAGAATTGATAACCTAGCTATAAATTAATCCATTACTTATGGTGGACTCATTTCTCAGGAATTAAGACCTCTGGGCAATCCACACTCAAGGTTGTATAGAGAGAAGCTCATTCTCCGGACGTGATCTTACTTTGCAACTGAGGCTCAATTTGAAAGCTCTATCCTCCTCAGCCATGGAGGGCTGGAATTACAGGTGAGCATTGCCATATCTGTCACAGACACCAAGACCATTGAGTCTGGTCATTTCTATGAGGGGAGTTGGCTGCACATCTCTGTGATTTGGAATCCATGTATCTTAGCTGTAGGGAAAATGTCATTCCCACGTTTAAAGGACAAACTACATGATGTAGAGGAGCAGCCTGATTCTGCAGAGGGGTTGTGTTCTTTGTGGACTCTCCCACAATGCTTCAGGCCAAATTCTCCTGAGAAATAAGGCAAATGAGTCCATGCCTACATTTCTGTCAAGGTAAAATATGTATGTTGCTGAAAAGCATATGTATTAATTACTTTCCTATTACTGTGATAAAGCACCATGACCATGGCAGCTTTTAGGAGAAAGACTAGGACATAGGGATTCAGGTGAGGCATCAGTGGAAGGCATGGCAGCAGGAGCAGGACGATAAGGAATGATGTCATTTACTAAGTTACACACAACCATTGGCATGACAAAGAGAGAAACAGAGAGAGAGAGAGAGAGAGAGAGAGAGAGAGAGAGAGAGAGAGAGAGAATTGGGAGTGGTATGAGTTGAAGCCTGCCCCAGCAATGGACTTCCGCCATCGAGGCCACATTTCCTAACATCCCCAAACAGCATCATCAGCTGGGAACTAGGTACCCAAATACATGAGTCTGGAGTGGGAGGGACATTATCACTAAAAAACAACCACAGAAAGGTGCCATGGGACACAAATACAGAACAGAAACTCTATATTCTCTAAGTTCATGGAAAATGGTGCTGGCAAATTAATAATGTTGGACAGGACAATGAAGGTATTCCAGTATGTATTCCCCAGCACAAACCAGAAGACTTGTGTTGTTGTGTCTGCTCTGTGTGCTTCAGGGGAGTCTTGTACTCTCTGGCTTCCTGGACTGCAATGCCCTGGGGGAGCAGAGAAGTTGGGTCTTGATGAGTTGAAACATTTCGTTTCCCAGGTGCAGAACATCATTACAGATGTTAGGGGAGCTGAGTGAGCTCTATGCAAATGTGAAGGCTGAGAGATACATCCACAGAGCAGAGGAATCTGAAGCTGTCTGTGTTTAAGGCATTTACTGCCTCTGAATCTACTCCAATGTGTGCTCAAGGGAGCAAAGCAAGTTGACTTTGAACACCTTCACCATGCAGCTGTGGGAGGAGCCCAGGAATTTCTCTCCATGGGGAGTCAGAGCATGGGCTTGTCTTTTGTGTGGGATGCCAGGAAGTTACTGACCACAGATTAGAAGACATCGAGGTCATTTGTGCCTTGGTGGCCAGGGAATCCTTAGCTCAGTTCAGGTTCCATCCTAACATGGTTGATTCTGGTTGTTGGGTCATTTACTTCCTCTTGCTAGAAATTCATTTCTGTCTCCGCTCTAACAGAAACACTATAATGGTTTTCAAAGTTATTTTAAGTTATAAAACATGCCAAAGTAAATATGACATCTAAACTGAATACATATATGACTGTATGATTTCTAATACATGTTTTTCTTTGATGCTGCCTCTTCTTTGGGTTTGTTTTTTGTTTGTTTGTTTGCTTGCTTGCTTGTTTTTATTCTTTTTTTTTTTTTTGTCTCCAAAGGAACTAGTATATCTAAGTATATCTCTAAGGCAGGGTTTGTTTTCCAGTTCTCTATCAGGAATTGTGCGCCACCTACATCTCTTTCTATATAAAAGCATGCCTTTGAAAGTTACCTGACCCAAAGAGAGACTTTACTTCATCTCCAAGAAGAACATGATGCTCTGTCTGTTTGGGACAGGGAGCCATTAATCCATAGCTACCAGTCATGCTATCTGCTAAGTATCTGACAAGATTGGATCCTGAAGCCAAGGCTGTTTGGAGTTTGAAGTTTATTTGAGTTAATTAAGCATTTTTAAATTTATTTGTTTTGAGACAGAGTCTCTCTCTATAGCTTTGGCTGACCTTGGTCTCAGAGATCTGCTTGCCTCTGCATCCCAAGTGCTGGATTAAGGTGTAAGCAACCATGCCTAGCACCTTGGATTGTTTTAGCAATGTGAGTCCAACACAGGAAGACTTTTCTTTAACAAACAATCACACATTATGGCTATGGTCTCATGCCAAGATCTTCCTGAAAATGAGAATCCCAAGTAGTTTTGGAACTATGGATGCAGCAGTAACCAAGAAGGTTTAAATATTAGAAGTATTTCTTCACACCATTTTTTTAAAAATTTTTCTATTTTTTCCAGCCTCCTTGGTTCATGTATAATCCTGTTTCTGAATTATGCTTCTGAATATGTGAATCTCTTAGGATTTATATGTGTATAATGACTCTGAATCTGTTACCTTTAAAATAAAAACAAGACTGTTCTCTACCCACTGCCCTCTCCCCTAGGTAAAAATGATTCTTTTCTGAACAGTTTCTCAGTAGAAGCTGATAGACTACAGTCATTTCCAAAACTCATACATTTCAGAACTGACTGATGGAAAAGTAGAGATTTCTAGCTATTTACCCTTCCGGGTGTCAAAGACTGACATAGGCCAGGTGAGCAGCAGGGAATCTTAACCTGGAGGCCAGCAGTGGCTAAGATGAACAGGCTCAGAGGGGCTC